TTCATGGACGTCATTTTCTCTGAGGATCCTCCTCTGCTCTCGTCTCCCCCAAAGTGTGGCCCTGCCCCCCGGCAGCGGCTGCCCGCGCCCCGCTGGGCCTCCACCGGGAGCCTGCCTGGCCCTGCACTCGGTGCACAGGCTGAGCCGATGCCTTCAAGGCCTTCTCCCTCCGTGGCTGATCCGTGGGGTCGGCTCAGGGCTGGCTCTGGGTGTCGGCAGCTGAGGAGCCCTGCAGGGCTTGGTCCCCGGAGTGGGGCACGGTGCAGTGTCGGGGATCGGGGGCCGGGGCCTCTGTACGCACACGGCTCAGGATTCCGGCGCCGCTCTGTGTCGCCAGTGCCCGCGGCCAGCCCGCGAGTGCCTGGCTTTGCTGCCTTCCCGGCAGCGCCCTGCAGCCTGTGCCGGGACGTGCTCCCTCCCCAGGGTGTGCACCTGCTGGGGAACCCCAGGCGCCTGCTCCCCCTCTTCGGCCCCTGCAGGGCGCCCCGCCCCTCAGCAGCCCACCGTCTCCCAGGCACGTGTGAGGGATGCGCCTGCCGCTGCAGCCTGGGCCTCGGACAGCAGGCCTGCGCTCCCGCCCAGGGCCATGTCTGTGGCGCAGTTGGAGTCAGCGTTCAGCTCACCTCACTCTTGCCTGTGGAAGGACACCCTGCTGCCCGCGGGAAAGAACTTTGTGCGCGGGTTTCTGTGGACTCTCCCAGTCCGCTTCTGTCGGGGTTGAGAGAAACTCCGTTACAATTGCTGCTTTGCTTTGCTGCTGCTTGTTTTGATTGGCAGAGCGGCCAGTGGGCTGTGGGGCATTGCCTTTGACCAGTGAGGCTGCGGCTAATGGGCCCGGAAACCCAAGGGTGCTGGTGAGAGCCTGGCCCAGCCTGGCCCAGCCTGCAGGAGCTGGGCCTGGGTCCCAGGGAACCCTCCCATCGGGGAAGCTGAAGTGGGTTTGATTATAATTTTGCTGAACCCAGAAAGGGTTAGGAGCCAGTGATGGACGCTTGTTCGGAAGGCAGATCTGGGACTTGTCCATGGTTCCGGTTGTGAGCCAGTGGCCCGTTTTTGGTTCTTGGTATGACGTGGACGGAGCCGCCCTCCCTTTGTGACTGACTTGGGGTGGCCTTGGCTTTGGTGGCCGTGCAGGCCCGTGGAGCTGGCCTTGCTGTGACGACGGCAGCCTGACTCCGGCGGGCGCGCAAACCGGGCGGAGCGGGGACGGCGCCGTGTTGCTGGGCAGGACAGGCTCAGCGGTGGGCCGGCCGAGCTCGGGCTCAGACGTGCGGTGCTGGCATGCTGGGCGCCGCGTGGTTGAGAGACGGCCGTTCCAGCCCGGGCCACTCCAGGACTAGCTGGTAGCCCCTCTCTGCTGCGTTCCAGGCGACAGCCACCGAGTTCAGCCAGTCCTGCGAGGGGTCGGACCCTGGCCACCGGACACGTGGGCGGAGTCCACAGGTGGACCCCGGTGCCCGCGTCCTCAGTCACGCCCATCACCCTGCCCCTCCTGCTCCTGGCCCCTCCTCTGCACCCTCGGGTGCGTCCCCCTGGCCGACCCCCTGGCTGACCGCAGGCCGGGTGGGCGTTGGGTGTGTCCTGCGGGAGGGCCTGTCCGCCTGGCCCTCCGCAGAGCAGCCTTGGGAGGTCGGAGGGGTCTGTGTGGCTACTACGCCTACTGCATTGATGAGGAAATCGAGGCCGGCGAAGGGGAGTGGACAGAAGGTTCACTTTCTCTCCCGCCGGGGTGGGTGCGGCCTCCGCGCCTGCCGCAGGGCGGGGCCCCGTCCTCCTTCGGGGCGTGTGGGCAAAGCCTCCTCTCCTGGCAGCCAGCCCTCTGCCCTGCCACTCAGCACAGGCGTGCGCCCACCCGCCCGGCCCCCGAGCCAGCTCCGGGTTCCCGCCTGGGCCTTGAATCAGACGCAAGTGACAGGGCGGCCGGGCAGCAGGGAACTGACGGTGGCTGTGACATCCTGTTTCCGGGGCAACGGTGGCAGCAGCGGCAGCTGCGTGCCTGCAGTGCCCGGCCGTCCCCGCAGATGTTTCCTGAGGCCCGGTTTTGGCCGCGCTTGGACCGGCGCCAGCCGCGGTTCTTGCAGCTTTCGGAGCCGGCTTCCCCGGCCTTCCCAGAAGTTCTGAGAGTTATGGGCCAGCCTTTCAGTAAATGGCTTTTGTGCTTAAATTAGCTGGTCCCAGCTTGAGGCCCGCCGTGCGGAGCCCCGCCTGAGGTGGGCTTGCAGCTCGTCGGGCTCCAGATCTGGGGCCCGAGCCAGGTCTCCTGAGCTGGGAAACGGCCAGGGACTGGCGGGGCCGGCGCTGCTGGGCGGGGCCTGGCGGCAGGCACGGTTCATGGGGGCGCGTCTGCGAAGCCGGGCAGATGCGCTTCAGCTGGTTTCGCTGCGAGACCGTGCAGCTTTCACACGTGGGCACATGGGCACGCGGGCAGCGTGTTCCCAGGACTGACGGCATGTCCAGGCCACCCCGGGGCCCCAAAACCCGCGTCTGGGTGCTCCCCTGGGAGCGCGCTTTGACAAACGGAGAGCTGGGCCCTCGCCCTGGGTGGGGGACACACGGGGCAGCCGTGGGTGTGCGACACGTCTGACTTCAGTGGGAAGTCAGTGCCTTGAGGGGTCAGACTCCTGCCCCAGCACCTGCTGCAGTTCCGGAGGATGGGAGGTGTCCCAGATGTGCGGGGCGTGCGGGGTGGGCGGGCAGCTGCTGAGTCTGGCTCCAGCAAGTGGGGAGAGTCTCCAGGGAGCTGGGAGGAGGGTGGCCATCTGCTTTTGAAGAACGATCAGATTTCTATGCTGTTGGAGGAGATTCTGCAGAGGAGAGGAGAGCGCCCTGGGTGACATGGTTGAGAGGCCAAGGTCCCTTGGTTCAAGTGACAACGGGCTGGGGCACCTAACCCCAGGCCTTCCCAGGTGCCGGGTCTTCACACGCCTTCCGGCTGGTGAGCTCAGGGGGTCCAAGTGCCAGGCTGTGGGTGGGACCTCGGAGCCTGCTGCTGTCGTGGCGGGGGGCTCTCTTGGAAGCTTGGTCTCTGTTCCATAGGCCATGTGTGCGCCCCGCCCGGAAGGCGGGACCTCAGAGGCTTGGTAGTCAGGGTGCCTCTCACGTCAGGGAGCGTCTGAGAACGTTTCCCACCAGACCCAGGGTGTGCCCCTGGGACCTGGAGAGAGACCCAGTTCAGACCCTGTCTGTTGGGTGGACGGGGCGGCTCTGGAGCCAGCAGCGTCGGATGGCACCTCGGGGTACCACTTACGCACGGCAGGTTTGGGGAACACTGCTTGACCTGCGAGGGCGTGGGTGGGGCGGTCGGCTGCAGCCGGCGGGGGCGGAGGGGTAGCGTCAGGAGCAGGGGGGAGGCACAGGGGACGGGCACCTGGCAGCAGGCCTGAGGGGTGATGAGGGGTCCCTGGAAAGCGGACGCAGGGCCCCATGGTGTGGGCCAGACGGGCAGGGACAGGACAGTCCACTGGAGGGGACCGTGGTGACAAAGCTGAGGAATTCGAGGCCATGTGGCCTGAGGGTGCCCGAGGACTCGGGGTGGCTGGCTGGGGACGCGACCGGAAGGGCGGTGCCTGGACCTTCCAGGGCTTGGCCGACCTTCCCTGCAGAGGCCGCGTGATCGTGTTTCAGGGCCACGCTGTCCCCGCCGTAGGCAGGGGTCTGCCACGGCCGAGGAGCCCCCGGCTGCAGGTGCTGAGCCTCCCGGAGCCGGCTGGCAAGCGGGCTCAGCCTGTGCGCTGCGGGGTGCTGCGTGCCGGGGCCCCTCCTGCGGTCGGCAGCGGGCGTGTTCTTGGATGGGGCGGTGGGGAGGCCCAGGTGTGCTGAGGGGCCCACATGCCCTTCCTCATGCAGGCGAGAGGTGGGGAGTCTCGTGGAAGGCAACGTGGCCAAGAGGGCGAGCCGCAGTGCAGGTGTGTGCGGGGCGGGGCGGGGTCCCGGGGTCCACCTGCCTCAGGCGGGGGCAGGGCGGGCGGGGCGAGGGCCTCACTGAGTCACTCCGTCGGGGTGGGACTGTGCAGGGTGACAGGGCAAGGCTCTTTGAGGTGCCTCCAGGACAAAGACGTAGAGATGGGGACCGGGGTGGGGCCGGCAGCTGCTGGTCAGGCACGTGGGGCCCTGGTGGGCGGGCGGCCGGCCCAGCTGTATCAGCTTATCCTGCGTGGCTGGGGCGGTTGGAGGCGGGACTCTGCGAAGCGCGGACCTGGATAAGGACGGACGCCGGCGCCCGTGCGCGAGGAGAGCGCGGGCAGCGTTCTCGCGCGAGTCACTGGCTTCTCGCCTGCCCGGAGTTGTAGTGGTTCTCATGAAACAGGAACTTGCCTAAACTCCCTCCTGGCTTCTCCCTGCTTTAGTGCATCTGTGCTGCTTTTTAAGCCTTCCTTTCGTCTGTCAAAGGTAACACCTATCCAAGCTAACATGGAGGGCGCGGCGGGATTGTTTTCACGCGTGTGTGCGTTGGCTTGAATGTAAGTGTCTCTCGGAGCTTTCCAATGTGGGAACTTTATTCCGAGGGCTGCACTTCCAGCCTCCTCCTGACACAGGTGCCGCGGGGCGCGTGCTGGGTGGATGCTCCCCCCGCGTCTGCCGTCCCTGGGTTATACGTGTCAAACATGCGCCTGTGCAGGTACCTGCTCGGTCTCCAGTTACTGTTCATGAGCCTCCCGCCTGGGAACCGTCCTCTTACTTTAGTGAAGTGAGGAGAGTTGGTTTGAGGGGTTTTTCCAAGGAAAGGCCGCCTTCCTGCCCCCAGGGGTGACCCCCAGATGGGGAGGGGGAGGGGGCGTGTGCCGCTGGCCGCTGCTCCCGCGGCCATGGCAATTTTCTGTCCTCAAAGCAGCTGCTGTGAGGGTGACACACAATATGAGCAAACCCCCCACATGGGGGAAAACGTGGGAGAATGTTTCCTGTGTTCACTAGCCAGGGTTTCTGTTGTTTCAAAGTGACCCAGCTCTTTCCCGTGCTGCACGTTCTGACTTTCACAACCGTCTCTTCAGATGCGGGGCAAGATGGACAAGACCTGCGACCTGCGGTGCAGGACGGTGGCCAGCCCCGTGGGGCCCATCGAGGTGTCCGCGTGCACGCAGGGCCTGCACGGCATCAGGCTGCTCGGCAAGAAGACGCCCGAGGCCGGGTGAGTGGCTGTGTGACACCCCCTGACCCCAGCCCCCCCCACCCCCTGCTGTGGCCCAGAGCAGCAGGAACCCCCCGCGGGGCCACCGTGGTGTCCGCCGACCGCAGGGCCGCGTGCAGCGCGCACGGCCACAGCCGTCAGCCCCAGCGTGTGCCTTCGTTTCTGGTGCCTGTGCTCCTCGTCTGAGAACCCCCCCGCAGCTGGTTAAGCACAGGGACCCACCCTCGGTTTAGGGGTCCTCAGGTGTTTGATGAAAGCACGTCTGCAGAGCTGTTGCTTGTTGACGGCTGAACGCTGCTGCTTCGGCACACGTGGTGGCGGTTTGGTTTCTCTGGAACTTCGGTGACGCAGGTGCTGGCCTAATCCTGGCTCTCCAAACTGGGTCCCGCCCCCCCGGGCGGGGGGCCAGCGGAACGTGGCCTGCCCGCCAGGAGGGTCAGCTCGGGCGGCTGGGGGTGGGGGCGCGGGCACGCCCAGGCTGTGTGCCCCGCTGGCGGGGAGAGGGCGCGGCGTGTCCCGCAGGACACACTCCTCTCGCTTTGGCACACGCCTTCCGTTTTGTATCTCTAATTGCAAACGTAAAAATTTAAAGCGGGCCTCAATGTTTTGTTCTGAAATGTAACATTTGATTTTCTCCGTTGATTGATTGTGAGGAGCTGGGTTGAAATTGCAGTTCTCGTTATTTCTGACAGAAGGAAGACACCATCCTCTACCCAGCTCCGTGTTTGTCTTAACTGGCCGATAAACACAATGCCAGGAACATTAGATAAAGAAAATACATAAGAAACATAAAAATTGATTTCAGTGGCCCCCTCTCCGGGGCCGCCGTAATAAACGCCGGGTGCGCCTGCACTGCGGGGCTGCCCCGCCGCGCCGCACTGCGCCCCGCTCGATGGCGCCTCCCGGGCCGGCCGCGGCCTGCCAGCGATGCTGTGCTCCCCTCGGCCCCAGGGCCGGCAGTTTGCAGGGGAGGTGCCACGGCGTCTCTTCACGTGTTTGGCTACACAGTGAATCACAGGTATTGTGCCGGACTTTCTTTTCTGTTTTGGTTTAAAAACCACTCTTTAAAGTTCATTTGGGGAAGAAGAAGGAAGAGCAGCTTTATGGGACGTTGAGTGAACGCTCGTTGCGGGTCTGAGAGTTGAGTGATGAAGCCAAACCCCGAGTCTCTCCGTGCATCGTGAATCAGGTTAGGCTTGCGTTCAGCTGCGAGGCGCGGGCCCGCTAGGTGGCGGCTCAGCAGGTGCGGCGGCTCCGCGGTGCACGCGGCGCTGCTGGCCCGATGGTCGCTGGTCCGGGGCCGCCTCCCCGCTTTGCTCTCTGCAGCTCTGGGCTGCGGCCTGTGTGCTGGAGCTGCAGGCCAGCCTCCGGGGACCAGGCTGCCAGCGCACATTCCAGGCAGCAGATGGGAAGGGCGGACGCCACCTCACCCCGCAGCAGCCTCGGCTAACGTTTGCGCTCATCTCGTTGGCCAGGACCGTCGCGTGGCCACGCCTCGCTGGAAGGCGTGCTGGCCGTCACAGATTGGCTAACGTTAGGGCGACCACATGTAGGAACGAACTGGGAAAGGGATCTGGGGGACACCCAGCGGTGTGGTGTATATACACCTGCCCCCCCTGCCCCCCCCCCCGCCACCACCTCTGGTTAATTTTAGGGATGAGCATTTAACAGAAAAGCGTAAAAGTCTGTGTGGCTCCTCAGGATTAATGGTGGAAGGGGACAGGGTAAGAGTCAGATGTTGCAGTGGCACTGCCGCAGGGGCCGGGCGGCAGCCACGCACCAGGGGCGCGGGGTCCAAGCGCTGCTGGCGGGTCCGCGCTCCCTTCACTCCGCCCCCTGTGCGCCGGCGTCTGGAGCCCGATTTCTGTCTGGGGGGGGGGGGGTTAACGTGACTGGCCGTTCAGTGTCCTGGGAGTGTCGCACGGCTGATCCTCTGAGCTGGGTTCTGTTGCTCGGCCATGTTTTCGAGAGGCACCATGGTCAGTGCCTCTGAGGCGCGCACCGATTTTTACTGCTGAGTTGGTTGGCTGTGGGAAGACCCCACCGTTCGCACACCGGCTCTCCTGCGGGGGGCCGCTCGCGTTGCCCCACTTCCGGCGGCTGTGAGCGAGACCGCCGTGCGCCGCGTGCCCGCCTCTTCCCAGACCCATGTTCTCGTTTCTCTTGAGGACACCCCCGGTGCAGGATTTCTGGATTGCACGGCGGGCGTGCCTAACCCCCTGCGGGCGTGCCGAAGCGGCCCCCAAAGCCACGCCGCTCCGCGCTGCTGCCCGGAGCGCCTGCGTCTCAGCTGCTGGGCCGCAGCCCCGTGGGGGCGAGGTGCTGCCCCGTCGGGGCTGAATTCACACTTTCTCCGTGGCCTCTCTGGCCTCTTCCAAACACCTTTTTGCCTTCTCACTGCGAGGTGTGCGCGAGCCTTTTGCCCATACGTAATTGGCTTCATCTTGTTTCTTTGACCTGTTCTGGTTACAAGTTGTTTACCGGATGTGTGCGTAGTTAGTTTTCTCTCACAGTTGGATGCTTGTGTTTTTATTTCCTAGTAGTTTTTTAGTGGGTAGAAGTTTTTAATTTTGAAGAAGTCCAACTTCATTATTTTTCCTTTAACATTTTTGTTTTTAAGAAGCGTTGCCTAATTTCACAAATGGGTTTTCCTATCCTTTTAAAGCTTTATAACTTCAGCCTTTTATGTTTGAGTATGTGTTGCTGTCACGTTGAGCTACTTTGTTGCAAGGTACTCGATTCAACAACGTGTTCCACACCGTTACTTAGTTGCTTTGGCATTATATGTTGGAAACAACAACTTCCTCGTTGAATCCCCTTGGAGCGTTTGACAAAAGTCAGTCGGCCGCAGCGCGCGGGTCAGACGGCTCTGGGCGGTTTTGCTCATGCGATCTCCTCGTGCGCTCTGCGTCAGCGCCGTGCTGGCTTGACGGCGTCGCTTTGTGGAAAGACTTGAAGAAAGGTAACGTGAGTCTGCCGGTTTTGTTTAGGGAAAAAAAAGATTGTTTTGGCTTCTAGGTCTTTTAATTGTCCATGTTTCTTTTAAAATAATTTCAGCTTCTGCAAAATAAATGCCTGTTGGTTGCTTGGGAGTTCACTGACTATCAGTCGGGGGGAGGGGGGCTTACATCCGTTTAATAGTGAACTTTCCGATGCATAACTGGAGCTGGTCTCTGCGTTTATTTCCTCCTTCCTTTTTCTTGGCCGCCTTGTAGTTTGAAGCGTAGAGATCGTGTGTGTATTTTGTGTGATGTTTAAGTAATTTAAGGATATTCTCTCTCAATCCATTGAAAACTGCTTGTATGGCTGCTGGGCTGTAACAGCGAACTTTTGGACGTTGACTTTATATTCTGCCGTCTCACTAAACTCACTGATTAGCCCTGGGAACAGCTTTGCCAGGTCCCCTGCAGTTTTCTGTATAGAAGTTGTGCCATCGCGACTAAGGACAGTTTGCCTTTTATTTCCGCATTCTCGTTGCACCGGCTGGGACCTGCGGGGTGATGCTGGGTGAAGGTCGTGACGGAGGGCCCCCTGCCCCCGGCTCAGCGGCGGGGGGAGAAGCGTCCAGGACGTCACAGTAGGGCGACAGGACCTTCCTTGGTGTCACAGGTCCTTTTTCAGGGTGAGGGTGTTCCCTCAACCTGTTGAATTTTGTCAGATGGTTTTTGTACATGTGTCGGCATAATTGTAATTTTTTTGCCTTTATTCTGTGTGGTGAAGTTAGGATTTTAAACCAGTCTTGAAATTCTGGGCTATATCGCTTAATTCATGATACCTTTTTGTTTTAACATAACTGGTTTAAATTTGCTAATTTGCGGAGGGTTTGTGTGGCGCCTCGTGAGGGGTGTCCGTCTGTGACTTTGTTTACACCGTCTCTGTCAGGTTTTGGTGTTTTGGTGGTTCAGTGCATGATGTAGCTGCCTTCTCGCCTGTCTTTGGAGCGTCACGTGTGGGGTTGGTGTGACGTGTTCTTCACGGTGTGGCTCAACCCGCCTCTGGCGCCGTCTGGGCCTGACGTTCTAGGTGTGTAGGGAGGCTTCTGCTCACACTCCTTTTGCCTGACAGAGGGAGGGACCGCCCTCGCCTGCTGGGGGACCCTCCCCACCCCCAACTCGGCGCTGGGTAAGTGGAGCCCCCCGCGCCCCCAAGGCCCTGGCCCCCACCCTGCCAACGGCTGGTGGCGAGGGGACTGGGAGCTGGGCCCGCCCTCCCTGTCCCCCGCAGCCCCTGTCCCCGACGTGGGCCCCTGTCCCCCATGTGGGCCCCTTTGACTGTACAGGGCGGGCAAAGCAGGTTACGTTGACAGGACGCAACACAGAGCTTGTTCTGGTGTTACTCACTCGCTGCGTTTTCCACACAAGCGCACACCTACTTTGCCCCCTCCCCCCACCGTGGACGCAGCTTCACCAGTGGATTCTCTTCTTTTTTCTGTTGATTAAGTTACTGCCTTTCCTTCCCCAGGTGGGCGTGTTCAGTGAGGGACGTCAGTTTGGAAAGTGGCTGATGGTCTCAATCTCCTGTCTCCTGCCAACCTCAAGTTACTCTAACAGCTGTCGTGCCCGGGAGGGGCTGGCTCCTTGTGAAAACCGGGCCGGTCACTCTGCGCTCCGTGTTCACAGGGTGACACGCTTTGACCCTGTCATTGTCCCACGGAGACCAAAATCTACCGAGACGGGTTGCAGAATGTTTGTTTTCCCAGTGTCACTTGAGCCTTCAGTTTTCCGTAGTGGTGCTGAGAGCCCTCGGTCAGGCGGAGGCCACCCCGCACAGCCGGACCGTCCCGGCTGCGAGACGAGTGCAGGGCGTTTGCGTCCAGGGAGCTGGCGGGGAGGGCCCGGGCGTCCTCTGCCACGTGCCACAGACTGACCTCTGTGTTTTCCACGTCAGCCTTCTTACAAAACCACAAAAATACTGGAAAATCTTCCGTAGCGCAACCCCATGGAGCCGCTGTAAAATTTCCTGTATTTTGACAAACGTGAAATTGCAAGCAGGCCGCTTCT